ATCTTTGTATAAACTTTCTTTAACCGAAAAAAAATTACAAGAATAATTATAAAAGTCTAATAATTTAAAACTGCAAATGGTCTCTATTTTGGCTTATCAATCAGTTTAAAAAACCATAATAATAATAAATGGCCAATTCGTTTAAATATCATGCAAACCAATTTTTGACTTTATTGTCAAATAATAAGCTCGCTTAGAATAGTGTTGTGACGGAATATTTTCTTGATTTAGTCAATCCATTTAAATAAAAATGCAGCTATAATAAATAAAAGAAGATTGTCATGCAAATAAATTTAAAAAAAAGATATATCATATTTTTTTATTAATAATAACCATTAGTTCTAAATTAGAAGAGTAAATTATGGATCAGTAATATAATTGGACTCATCATTTGAATGTTTTCGAATGGTTCAAACATTCAAGTAATTTGTATCATTGGATTCTCTTAGTTCTTATTGAGCTAAAAGATAGTCCAGAGCAAACTCGCTTTATCTTTGAAGAGGGTTTAAAAGATTTAGCAAGCGAGATAGAAGAAATATATACTAACGTGCAAAAAGCCCTGATGAACATTTAAAAATAATTAATGAATGTCATAACTGTATATCAACACCAAATAATGAAGATTTAAGACAATCGCTTTTAAATAAAATCCTACCTCAAACAAAGCTTCTTAATGGTTGGTTACCTTATTTACAGCAAATAACAGACTCCCAGCGAACAGTTTTAAAAACAATGGCACATCAAAATATTCAAGCAAGGGTTGCTTATATCAGAGCCATTTCAAAACCTTACTCGGCTCCAGAAGATCCTGAGGGTTATCACTGTACCAAAAATCTTTATTACAGACAAGCAATGAATGAAAAAATATAATCAATATCAAATACAAGGATTTATTGGCTAAATACAACGAATTATTGGCAAATAAGAATGCTGAAAGTTCAAATTCCGACCAAAAATCAAGTCACGAAGATGAAGAAACCTTGCCGCAAAAAGTTGGCAAAGTAAATGAGCAATTTGAATGTGAGCTCGAGAAAATAAATAAACAACTTTTAGAAAATAAGAAATTAGATGCTCAAATTGTAGAAAATATGTCCAGGTTTTAAAATATGAAAAATTCGCTTGATCATGCATATGAACATTGCAAAGAAAACAATCTTTGTAAACAAGAATTAGAAAAGGTTAAAAATGAATTAAAAAATGCCGAGAAAAAAGCTTTAACTTTAGAGGCTGCACTTGGAGATGCTACTAATGTTCGTTTGAGTGATGATTCCCCAAATAGTTCTCTCCAATTAAATAAAGATATCACTAAATTTAAAAAATTAGTAGAGAAAACAAGTAAAAATCAAAGAGCAAGCAGCAAATAGTTTATTATCAAAATATAAGTTTAAGAAAAATAACGATACTTTTAAGGATGTTTTAGGATTCATCCTTCAAAGTATAATAATTTATAAAGTATTTTCTGCGATAGAAAATATAACATACAGAAACAAAAATGGAAATTTCAATTATTTTGAAACAGCAATTATGAATTATACTAATGAAATAATTGAATGGACCACTAAACTATCCCAAACCCGACCTGGAAATGATCATGTTACCAAGATGACCCCTATCAAAATTCGACAACAAATATATGAAGCTCTTGCATTGCGTGGATTCAACAATTATAATAATAAATCTATTAATTCAATCAGAGATGATATTATGAATGAAATGAACAAATATCGTGAAATTCTGGACGAAGAAAAAAAAAGAAGAATGTCACTAGGAACTGGCCCGTTCTGGTATTAAACCGTGGTTTTGTTTTCAGATCCAGGAACCTGCATCAAAAGTTCAATGGTATGAATGAAGGAGTACTGTCGAACCCTAATTGATGGGTGGAGCGTGGGAATGTGAGAATATAGAGAAATATGTAGTAGATTTTTGCTATTTTCCTTGTATATTTTAAAAGGAGACAAAGAATCTAACCTTTGTTACCAATCTCAAGTTACAATTCGAAAAAAATCAGCATAGTTTAATAGATGATGTCTTTTATTTACCTTTATGCCTTCTTATGAAATTGCTTTATTGTATTATTTTATATTTATACATTATCAGTTAATGTGCATTCACTTCTAGTAAAATTTCATAAGTAAAAAATGAAAAATGAAATTTACTATTCTTTAAATGATCAAAATCATCAATTTATTAAGGAATGGATTTGAGCCACATATAATTTTGTCACTGTAAGATTATATCGTTTTTATGCTTTATTATATGATAACGTTCATGTGATCACGATTGTTGATTTCTTTGGATATTGATATTAACTAACTGAAAGATGAAACCAATTAATTGAAACATAATGAAAATTGTGAATATAATCCCAATGATTTGGTTTCCAATTTTTTTGATGTGATGTGTGAAAATAATATTAATACTGAGTGCAAAAAGAAAAAAAAACAATTAATTATGAATGTGATACTGATGAGGAAGATTTGGATTATGATTCACATAATTTAGGTTTTGATAATGAAGACAGAAATTGCAACGAAAATAATTGCTTCTAAAATAGATATTATATAATCGATTGATATCATAGTGCTATGCTTTTTTCTATAAATTTGATAAATATTGGAAATGACTCAATCCTCCATTCCCTTTCTCTTAAATGACAATAAACAACATTTGGCATATCAATTGAATATAATTAGAGAGATGCGATTATATATTTATATAAAGATCTCTAAATAACTTTACCTTTTTTATTATTATATTTCCATTAAATTTATTTGTGACAGAATCTTTAAATCAGGTTTTTTTCTTTTCCAACTGACTTAATTTATCATCTTGTTTTTATTACAAATTGGAATCCTGGTTAATTTAATTTTGGTTAAAATTAAAAGCATGTCAATTTTCTAATAATTATTGGGGGTAATACATATTTTGAAGTTATATCAAAAAAGCAAAGTTTTATGAATATAATTTATGGGTATTAAAACAAATCTTAATATTATTCATAATTGACCACTTTGTTATTGAGGAACTTTCTGTTTAATGAATTACAAGAAAAAATAACAATAAAATATACTAGATAAATATTTAAAATGAATAAGATGTCAATCTTGCCAATTGATAAAAATACCATATTTTAGATTTCAATCTAATTAAAACAAGTTTCTTTGGAAATAATTATTTTAAACTTTTATGATTTCTGTAAGTTTTATGCAGGATTTCAAAAGCATTAATATTTAGAGATTTCTTAAAAATGATGCTTCACAAACATCACGTTTGGCATAATGAAATGTAGTTTTACAAGCTTTTCCTGATTTTTTACTCCATGCAGATGCATTAATAAGTAGTTCACCAAACATTAAAGAAAACTCTACAGATCTATCAAGTTTTAATTGAACATCAGGTAATTCAATATACAACTCTCCAATCAATTCCATACCAGATTCATTACAAAATTCTTGATCATTTTTTGGTGTACAATATACCTTGAAATTTATACCTTTTTGGTCAGGGTAAACAGGATAATATGCCCCAGAAAATTCTTGATTTGGTGTATATTCTATTCCACATTTTGCTAAACAATGAAATTTGTATATACGACCATCTTTTGTTTTTCTTTCTATTGGATCCCCCAAATTCACACAATGGATATACACGCACACCTATATGATATATATATATATATATAAATATAAATGTAGTAAATTAATAAATTTTTAAAAAATAAACAACATACCATAATTCAATGTTAATTGACGTGTCACAATAGCCTTTTTGTCTAAACCATAAATAACTCCTATTTATATTATAATTGTAAATAAAATGTGTTAGTTGATTATGGAATGCTGAATATTTCAAAAT